CTACTTCAGTGTTCTTTCTTGTGTTTTGAAATATAGTTTGCACTAAAGCATGCAGAATTGTTATTCTCTTGACTGCACATTCAAAACCACAAATGTTCTTCCAGTAAGGAAGGCTGTCAGAAACTGTCGATTAAGAACTAACAATATTTATGTTGTGTTGACAGACCCATTGCTTCCATTTGCCTCCATGCCTCCTGGGAATGAGATACTTGGACAAATATTAGAGTTAGGATTTTTACAAAGTAGTGCAGGATGGAGCATCCTCTCTATAGTGGATCAAGCTCCTGTCAGCTTTTAGGGAATAACATATTAGAACTGCCCTTAGGTCTCCTGTAGGAACTGGGGTCTGGAACTAATAGTTCTTCCTGATGCATCTGGTTTGCTCTAATTTCACAGAACTCAAAGAAACAGCTACATTCCATTCATGGAGAGGAAGAAGCTGTCAGGCCCTCATCTTTTCTCCAGGAGGTTTGTGCAGTGCCTGAACAATCCTAGTTTTTATCTTAATCCTAAAGGCGTGCCTAAACTCCTCCTGCAGAACTCAGACAGGTGCATGGTTTGGATGAACGCTTAACTGCTATTTGATGTCAGGTTCTGCAGGTGGTATCTGTCAGAGGGGAGTAGGATCAATGTGCATTACTTTCTGACCTGTAGCTACATGCTGCCCGCATGCTAAGCTAAAACATGCTTCAGCAAAGGTCTGTCTAATGATTTATGGCTGGAATCAAAAGGATTAGAAAGCAAAAGGTTTTACTTGAAGCTTAGGTGCATCAGAGCCTGTGGCCAGCAGAGAATTAATACAGTTTATCTAGCTGTCACTGTTCTTGCTCAGTCTCAGAGTGCCATGCAAACCCAGAAGGAAAAAAGCAGTCCATTCTAAGGAGATCTCTCTTAGGTTTGTCATGTGCCTGACCACCTCCATCAAGACTCGAAGACATATGCCATTGATGTAGTCTAAAATAAGTGACTACACAAACCTAGTAGCAAAATGTATTTCCCTTCTAATAAAAGTACATGCAGTGATGTAAGAGAATTTTGAATCAATGCTGACCCATTTAGCAACACTAGTGTCCTGTGGCTCTTCAGGTGTTGTTGTTGACAGTGCTTGAACTTTGGGGCAATCCTTTATTTACATACGGAAACTGCTGCAGAGATACCAGCTGCATGAAATACTTAATTATTTGCCACAGTTTGGGTACAGGATGGGTGCACAGGAGCCCCCTTTGTGACAGAAATCTCATGAGCACAGACCTGAACAAGTGTCAGTTGTCCTAGTACATATGTGAGCGCTATCGCTATCTATCCTGTAGCACTGAGCATCATTTGCCTGGAGACTGTAGTAAAATGTTCCCACTTCAAGACTGAGTTCAGAAAAGAGAAATTACAGCACTGGCTGTCTGGTAAGAAGAAATAGGCTGTAAAAAGTGCCAGTGAAGCCAGGCATACTGTGTTTCACATTCAGGGCTTTCCAACTAAAATGGTTTGTGTTTGCAGTCTTGTGTAGAAGAAGCTTTGAGATGCTAGGCAAGAGCTGACTCTCCTCTGTTGAGATACACAACAAAAGAGAGCAGGGAAGACTCTGACTATATAAGGAAGAAAAAAAAAACCCAACCCAGCAGTAGTTCAGCACTAGAACAGATGCCCAAAGAAGCTGAGGAAGCTCCATTGCTTTGACAAGCTTCCTGAAAAACTCTTCTCCCTCACTGGTTGTTTAGCTAAGAAACCAGGATTCTTGAAAATACTGGTGATTTTATTAATCTATGTTATTGGGATCCTGAACAAAATTAAATTTTGGCAATCTAGCTAACACAGTGATGATGCCAAAGTAAACAATCGTGATAGCATTGGTGAATAATGTAAGCAGATAACCTGTAGACTTCTGTCTCCCATCTCTTGGAGCTTGGTACTAAAGCAAAGACAATATACAACTGGTCTTTTCTGACTGCTTGGAATTTTCACTGTTTTATAGGGTTGAATCATTAAAAAACATTTGGATCTTCGGGAACTGTCATGCTTTTCAGGTGCTTTGTGATTTTCAGGACTTCCAAGGAGTTGGAGATCATTCCACTAGCCAAGGAAGTGTATGCCCAAAAATTATTTAGAATCCTTTATGGAAGGGTTAACATAAGAAGGATTGACAGCTGGTACGTGGGTTGCAAGGTCTATGTAGCTGGCAGAGAGAAAGGATAAGAAGGGGTATTTAATGAGGTTTGTTAAAGGATCTTGTGCAGGGAAGGACTATGACTTTGCAGTTGGATTTGGAGGAAAATGGTAGATAATGGATTTTGTAGCAAGGAGAGGTAATCTGTCTGAAAGTGGTTTTGGAATAAGTAACAAGCTGAAAAGGCCATGGAAAGGTGCTTATGTGGACAAGAGAATAGGGTGGTTTAGAAGTTGGAATGGTTTGAGGTTTCTGTTGAAGTAATTTGGTGTAGGGAAGGAATAGTAGGAGAACTGAAGAATGAAAGATGAGTGTCTTTGGCTGTAGTCAGATTCTGCACACATCAAGTGCTGGGAGAAAGGGCAGGGCAGTGGTTAGCAATGTAGGGGCTTGGTACTCTTTAATTCAGAGAAGCTAGTGCTTCCATACTACTCACACTTAAATGCTTCCATAATGTTCTCCTATATCCTTCATTGTGCAGTAAGCATTTTTCATTGAGGTGTAGAAGAGGTAGAATCAAAAAAAAAAAAAAAAAAAAAAAGACAAATTTACCTTTTTTAAAAAGCTGGTTTTGATTTAGGAGTTGGTTTAGCCACAGTTTATTTCAGGGAAAAATAATTTTCCAGTCTAATCCAGACAAAGGCTGTATGATACCTCATGAAGAGCAGTGCAACAGTGCTGAGATACGGGATCTATCAGGATAAGATGAACAGATGTTGTGAGAGAGATGTGCAGGTAGGAAGGACAGGAGAATATTTGTTTTCCTTGGAGCCAGAAATTATTTTATGTCTGCTTCTTGGTAGCAGGGTTTTTCTAGTTCTGTTTTGTGGTAGCAAATTCATTTCCTCCGTACCTATTACCTCATAAGTTCAAGACTTTGTCCTGAGATCCAGCAGCCAGAGCATATTTGGGTTCTGTTTCCTGCTCTACCGCTCATAAGTTATGTGACATTGAAAAAGTCTGAACTGTGGGCTGTTTTCAAACCTTCTGTAATGAATGCAGTCCCATTGGCTGAAATGAAAGTTTTCTTCAGTTTATTTGACCTCTGTTCCTGCATTTATTTGCACTCAAAATGAACGTTTAAAAGTCCCCATCTCTCAGGAGTTGGCTGGCCTAGAAAGGCTTTTAGGTGTTATAACGTTATAGATTGACTGGCAAGACAAATGCTGAGTAATTATGTCTCTATGTAGAGTAGTCATGCAGGCTTGATTCTGGTATACCAAGTCTTGGTTTTGGTGGCTTGGGCAGTAGTCTTCAACCCCGTTCCTGGAGAGCACTTCCATGTGCTTGGATAGTTTTTTCTTTATAAAGAAGAGTTTTCTGAATTGTTCAGCCTGGAATTTTCTCCTTTTTACAGTTTCATCCAGTGGTGTCTTTCTTCTGTGGTATATACATGCTTCATAAACTAATATGCAGTACCTGTATTATATCCATCATCCCATTTAATTTTCATTTTTCCTCAGTTACACTTAACTGATTTTATTTTTCTCTTTCCTCATAAATCATGAATCAAAGTTTTTGCTTCTTCCTCAGCTCCCTTTAGTTTCCATACATTTTAGTGATGCTCAGGGTGCCTATGTTTTATCTGTGTTTGGTGCTGCAGGTTCTAATTAGGGGCAGTGTAAGAGACAACTATTCCATATTGTCCAGTAATTTCTCCCTTTCTTTAGTAAAGCAAATCAAGTTGAACTCCATTGCCTTTTCTCATACTCCCCAGGCTGCTTTTTTCTCTGCTACAGTGAACATACTCAAATCCTCCACTGCAAGATTTTCAGATAATTGCAGTGAAGTTGCCTCTTTTAATTACAACTCGTCTCTCCCCTATTTCATCCAGGTTACTGAGCCATTTCTCTATATTGCTTGAGACATTTTTCTTTCTGCTTAGCTACGCTTCACTGTCTCACAGAAGACATTGACGTGTTTTCAATGCTCTGTGCAAAGAGCACCTAAAGAAACAAAACATACTAGCTTTTTGCATGTAACCTACATATTACCACAATATTTCTCCGGTGGCCTGAGAACTGGGCAAATGGAGCCAGAAATACCACACTTAACAAAATTATTGTGCTGGATTGATATGGTGCTCCCTGACATGCTGCTCCCTGACTGTGAGATGAGCCTTTATGTCAGGTTCATAATGGTGGTGGTGGCATTTTGTTTGGATTTTTTCCCACTTAAGATAAAAAATTTGGACTTGTGTGCTTTTCCTGGCTGTAACGCAGTCTCCCTGTTTGACCTTAAATATCACAACATTTTCTTCCTCACCTTTGACAGATTAATGGGAAAAATACTGTCCCACTTCAGTAGTGTTGTACAGTCATATGCTTAAAGGGACAAATGCCTGCATCTGAATTACAGTTACAAGTGTATCAGCAGTGCAGATTTGTATTGTCATAAATGGTGAAAACTCTCCTGTCATGGCTACTGCCCTGCAGAGTCCTTAAAAAGCAAAGTATAATTTAGAATTTAAGAGACAGAATTTGGAAAGCATGCAGAGGAAATGGAATGGAGATCTTCCAAGAGGCGTTGTGAAAGATGCAAATGGTCAGGACTTAAAGTAAGAATACAGCCTATATTGTGGGACAGATTAACATTGATCTGGGAACACCATTCTCCCTGATGCCATGAATGTCTCAAAATCTGTGTGTACTGTCACAGTGTACAAAACAACTGGGACTGAAGTCTTGGGGAGTGGGTGTATGTTAAGTACTGGGTCTGCACTACACTTTTTCACCTGTATCTCAGAAGTAGTAAATGATGGAGTGGGTGTATAAAAACTGCCAATTCTGTATTATTGTGATCTGATTTCTGTTTCTACATTCTGTTTTCTCTTAACCAGTATTCCTGTGTGAAGGCCTCTGTGCTTTGATTTGGAAAGATATTAAAATACTCCAAGAAATCTTTGGCCATTACAAGGGAGTAGTGTGTGGTTTTTTGGAGATGGTGGTACCTACAGAGAATCTTCATGGATTCTAATGCTGGCATCAGTGCAAGAAAAGTGGCAGGAATGGGTTGGCTCTGGATCATCTGCTTCTTTCATCTGGCCACCTCGCTAGAAGGTAAGAACAGATTTTATATAATGCAACAGTATTGCAACAATACTGTTGAATTATATATACCGTATACCAGTATGCGTATCCTAGTCTAGATGAACATTGAGCACATCTTCCTGTCTGATAGTTGATCACTATCTCATGAGGTGTAAGAAGATACCTAGTATTGTTTCCAGCAGGACAAGCAAACCCACTTATGAAGGACCATGAGTGAACTACTAGCTATCTCAGAAGTGACAGTCTCAAAGCATAATTTTTTTTTTTTTTTTGCCTCAGGAATAAGCTCCTTGTTTATGCTTTGTCTGTATTTGATTCTTGTGCTCCTGTTCTTGTATCATGTTTTTTTTTGCGGAACGCTCTCTCAGTGTTTATGCTGTTCTGCAAGGCAGCATCCAGAGGGCTGAAATCAGGAATTTTTGTCCCTGTCATCTGAACAGCTTACCTCATGTAATAAAGATGGAGATAATACTTTGCATTAAAAAGAAGAGGCAGTTTGTATTCATCCAGCAGAGGCGAGGAGGGAGAGAGCAGTGAAGACAGGATAGAGAAAAGGTGGGCAGGGGACAAGAGAGGCCAAGAAAATGGGAGAAGAAAGGACAGATGGTAGGAGGGAGGGTGATGAGAACAGGAGATAAAATGAGAGCTACAGGAGAGAGTTAGAGAAGGGCAGAGGTATTGTAAACAATCCTCTTGTTTGTTCCAGGAAATATCCTTGCAGCTACATGTGCTCAATGAACTGCACTGCTTTGTGACGAATGTTCATCTCTTGCATATGTGAAAGCCTCTGAAAAAGGAGGGGAAGGAGAGAGGGAATCAGAGGGAAACAAGGAAGGAAAGACCTAGAGGAAGGGAAAGAAGAATAGGGTGAGATCTAAGAAAAAGAGAATACTGTTTTTTTCTTATTAATAATGAAGAGGAAAGCTTGTTAAAGGATTTCTTCTATTAATAGGAGGGGAATGAAATGGAAGGAAGTTCAGAGAGAAAATAATTGGTGTAAGATTATAATACAAATTCTTAAATCTCAACAACTTTGTTAATTGCTTATGTAAAAATGATTTTACAAAGTACTATGTTATTCCTTAGTGTAACTGGTAGAGGAACTGAGGTAGATAAGGGAGAGAAAATGTCCCTTGTCTGAAAATACAAAGTAATTCAGTGATGCCTGTAGGAACTGCCATTTCTGGAATTCAGTAATCACTCCTGTAAGTTTGTAGAGATAAAAGAATTTAGAAAACACTGTGTGGTACAGCTTCACAGATCACATGGTTGAATTGCCTGCATTAAAATAGGACAGAAAAATTCTGCCTATGGAGGTGAAGCAGTAAAGGCACCCGTGAGCTAAATTTCAACTCTCAATTAAGTGAGGGGAGTCAGCACTGTGCATTGTGACTGTACTACATGGTCCTAGGCTTGCACTCCAAAACTAACTTGCATCTCAGAGGTAAGTATTTTTGTTGTGGTCAAAGAAGAATTATGCATTAGGGGAAGGAAAGTTGGATGATAGTTATGTAGAATGCTTTGCTTCACTACAGTTATCCATCAGGGAGAAAAAAGGCCCATGGCCATTTTGTTGACTCATTATATATAGCAGAAACTTGAACTTAGGGTTTCAGTTTTAAGTTGAAAAATACAGGGAATATCCAATTTGGTCTTTAGTTTTTGTAAGGTTTCTTAGAAGTTTTATATGGTGTCTAAAATACATCTCACCTCTAATTGAAGAGGATTGACTGAGTGGGAAAATCAATCAAGGTAATTTTTCTTCCAGGTGTTTCTCAGGCATTGGAGTTCAGTTTAAACAGGCTGAATGTAAATTGCTTTCTGTCTCAAACTAATCTTTGTTTGAAATTTTCTACCAGGAGTAAACCAATATTGATAAAACCTTAATGTAAATTGTTAGGAAAAGAAGGAGAAGCTATAGAGAGGGGAAGAAAAATAGCCAAAGTATTCGAACTGTCTTTCTGTGCATTATGAAGAAAGCAGATAATTTTTTTGCATAATGATTTTCAAATAGAAGGAAAGTAAGTACCCTTTTACAGGGCCTAATGGGATCTTAAACCCCTTAATGAACCAGAAGTAAAGCAGATCTTGTAAGCAATTGAAAATATTTTTGCTGTTATTGTTGTTTTTAATGCATAAAAAATAATCATTAGGTTCAACTTACTTGATACAGATGTAGTATTTGGACACACTGATTTTAGGAATGAGAATGTCTGTCCAAAATTTTCCAGATACAATTTTTAGACTAAAAAAAACTGCATGGGAAGCATGAGGGAAAACTGTTTTGCTAATGGAAGATATTTGTAAACTTATTATTTTAGCTTTATAAAAGGAAACAAGCTTGGGTGAAAGTTTTAATTAAGACTGCATTTTCCAGTGTTTATAGCTCTGCGAGTTTCTGAGCTTTTAGTTTGGGGAGTGCTATTTTTGTGCTACATGCTGGCTGAAAGAAAATAATTTTTCATTTTTCTTAAAAATATGTAAAGAAATACAGAAATTTTATTTCTGTGAGTATCTATGCATGTATATAATTATTGTCTACAATTTACCATTTAACATTTTTGTAAGTTAACGCTTCTGATTGTAAAAGTTGGTGAAACATAGAATTTAAGAATGCCCGATGGGCTACATTAAAAATAGATGAGAGCAAGTGATAACTTGCTAATGAAATAGCTCTTGTGAGGGCACAGAGTTGATTTTTCTGTGGAATATTGGTTTTGCTTTGACTGAGTTATAAATATTTACAACTGTAAACACAAGATCATTTTGCAGAACTCAGAACAGTTTGTATTCAAGAAATACTGATTGCTCAGATTGTCTTGTCTTTGAAGTGAAGTGAGCTATACTTTCCTCAGAGGTAATCCTCAGAGTAAAAAATACCATTGCCTGTTGTTTTATTATATACAAAGGAAGTTTTAAATGGATGTTATTTTACTTCAGGGAAAAAAAAAAAAAAAAAAGTAAAATTAAGTTTTTACTTCAGTTTCTTGTGATTCATATGGGTTATTAAAATCCTAGCAAAGGTTTACTGTTGTATTTTTCCCAGTTCTTTTCTAAGACTTCCCTGCATGCCAGAATCTTTGCCACATGCTTGGAAAGCCCAGGCAGAGGATTATCCTGTTGTAGACATTCAAAATGTGAATGGAACTGGGCTGGATGTGCATCTTGTTTGTAAGAGAAGGGGTGTCTGGGTTATCCCTTTGGTCAGTCTTAGCAGCTCCACTTGATTTGTTTTCTCCCATAATAGATTACTCTGTAGGGCCTGTGGTAGGACATCCCCATTCCCAGGTATACACCATAGCCCTGTGATGAAGCTGTTCACAAGCTGCAGGCTAGCTCTTTCTGCTTGGAGGCCAGTAGGACAGTAAAGGCTATTCATGCTGCAACTAACACTGTTTATATTCAACGCTAATTAAAGCTTCAAAAATATATATATGGTATCTGGGACTTTCAATTTATCCTTCAGTCAAACCAGACCCAAGCTCACTTTTTAATGTTTATGCAAAAAAAAAATAATCAGGAAAGCATAGATAAACTTTCAAAATCACACTGTACTCTCATATAAAGTAGCCAGTTTGATGGCAGTAGCATTTGGGTGAGTTCTATACTCAGTAGTGGATGTTTGAAGAATGAATCCCTTAAGCCGTGTCAGAATACATATTGTATTGTATTACTAGGAAAGTTATAGATAATACTTTAACTTAATTGCATATGCAGAGTTGAAACTAAGCATTTAATGTAATTTAATTTATTTCCTGATGTTCGCATTTCCTGACATCAGCAGAGGAATTAGTACAACATGCTAATCCTGGCAGTTTCCCTAGAGCTTTCACAAAAGGATAGGGAAGGTAAAGAGAAAAACACACAGTCATTCGTAAAGCTTAAAAGCTGCGCTACCTTGCACATAGATGTGTATTTCCATATCCTAGACCATTTGGCTGTCATCTTTCACAGATGGTATGTAACTCCTGATTGGAGTTTGAGAATTCCTCCATGCGGATGACAGCTTTGATGTTTTGATAGTGTCAGCATTTTGCTCTGACATAGGAAGTAGTTAAAAAATACTATACTTCATGGAACTCCCTAACTGCATTATCTCATTGGCTCCAAATAGCTTCCTTTATTAATTGCAAATACAGAAGTAAACCAGGAACATTAATTGCAGGAGTGATAAAACTATAGGAGCGGTAAATCTATATTCACAATATAGATTTATCCAAGAAAAAAATCAAACTCATTTGTCTCATATAGGTTGCTTTTGTATATAAACTCATATATTAGGAGGTATATTTTACAACTTTGTAGCTTGTATTTTCATGTTAAGTCATAGCTGAACTGTAAAAAACACATTTTTTGTTAAAAAATAACATCAAATCTATTTTTGTTTGGTTTTTTGATTGTTTCATCCACTCATTCTTGAAAAATAAAATACTTGTTGCAGTTGCATATGTCACTAACCACTGATATATTATTTACTTCACCACAATAGCTGTTTAGTTTTAGAAGAAGTTCTAGTGTATTTACGGCTTCCCAAAGGTATCACTGTATTCAGTTGCCAAGTGATAGCCTCCGTATATAAATATATTTTTTTGGTTGCTTGATAAAAGGCTCTTCTCCCCACGCTAAGAGGAGCACAGAGGAACAATAACAGGCAGGGGAACCCAAATAACCTAACAGTAATAAGCACCCTGACCCAGCTTCTCCCAGGGCTATCACAGGAGTGTGGTCAGACCATTGAGTGGGAATGGAACTCATTAAGATAAGTCAGTGGAAGTGCTCTCTGGAACACCGTGAAGATTGAGCGGGATTACTACCAGCAGGGGCATGGGATTTATTATGGGGTGTAGGGAAGACCATCTGAGGCTTCTGCAAAATTACCATGGGTTGTTTAGGGGAGGAACCATAAGTGGACAAAATGAGGGATCGGGGTATATTTGGGGAGGATCAAGTGTGAGAAAATAGAGAGATAACGGGCCAGTCGTGGAAACAGGCTGCTGGTCATTACTCCTGTCAGGCCTTGACCTGCACCTGATCACCACAGTCTATCCTATCTTATTATAAAATTCGATTTTTCATTAGTTAACCTGGGTGAGAGGGCTTTATTTTGTGTGTATGTGAATGTTTAAATTCCAGCAATTGGATTTGAACCACAGATCATAGGGGCCGATGTGTCAGTTCTGCAGTAACTGGAGAGCCTAGAATGGATGAAAATCAAGTGCCAGGAACTCAAGTTGGACCATGAGTCATAGGATCTGTGCATCGGTGGTGCCAGCAACTGGAGTGAGTGAGCTTATATAAGTATAGAGAACAATATGATCTCTAGCAAATATCAAGTCAGACTAGCTGGTTAGTAAAGTAAGTGGGTTGGGAAGCCAGGGAGACACCACAGAGCCTGGGGGATGAACGAGACATTGCTGGGTAGGCTCAGTGTCTAAAGTAAGTTACGGGAGGGATCCATAGTGTGTGTGCCTCTGCATGTGTGTGTGTCTAAGTGGGGTTCTGTGGAGTGTGGTAGCACTGCAGCAACTGTCTGCAGACCTTGGGGGCTCACATGTCCAAGTGCCAGCAACCTAGGAGAATGGGAACCCAGGACAAACTACTGGGTAGACCTCATGTCTAAAAAGTAGAGGATTCATAGTGTGCCTGTGTATGTGTGTGTGAAGGGATGTATCGGTGAGTGAGGGTGTGTGGATACTAGGAATACTAGTGGGGCTGCAAGCTTCAGGTGCTTATTTGTGCAGGGGCCAGCAAATGGGTAGTCCACAGATGCAGGGGTCAGCGACTGGAGAATGAATGTTTAAGGACAGTTATTGTAGGGATCCACACTGTATATAAATACATATATATTTCCCGCAAACAGACCTTCATCCTGAACAGCCAGAAAGGAGATCAGGATGAGGCTGTTGGTGCTGTTTCTGTTTGCATGATTAGTGAGTGTTTCTGTCTGTGTTGATCTTTATGGCTGGCCGTTTGTGTATGTGTAGTGCCTATTGGGACTACCCCCTGTTGCTACTGATTGGTCCTGGGGACATGGAGCTGCAGCAGCCATACTTATGTAAGGTTACTGGATTTGGCAACCCCTAACAATATTTTTGCACAAGCCCAGAGAATGCTTTCTCTTTCCGGCCCTCTTAGAGAGCACTCACAGTCTTCCTACTTGTTCATGTTCAAGGCATGATCATACAAGGCAGAATAAGCTCAGTAATATTTAAGTTCTTTGCAAGAAGTCTGTTAAGCCAGAGAGCTTTGCTGCTTGAGGTATTCAGCTGCATAACAAAGAAAATTCTCTGAATGTTACATTTTACCCTAGTGCCCTTTTCCTTATCTGCTAAAGTATGTGTACATTTGGATATATTCAGAATCAAATTGGAGAAGGCCATGAGCAACCTGGAATTGAGAGGAGTGTTGATCAAGATGACCTCTATACTTTCCTTTCAGCTTGTTTCATTTTGTGATTCTATGGTCTGGTCATTCTTAGCACCAGCTTCTCATCCCACAGGTAAAACGATTCTTTCATTGGCTTCTCAGGGTCAACTTTCTTCTCAGTGGCTATAGTTTGCCTAGACTTGGGTTGTATAATTCCTATTGTACCACTCCACTGCTAGGACACTGAGGACAAGTGTTCTTCAATCCAGAGAGCTGTTATGCCATTTTTGCAACCTAGAATGCTGTTAGTCCATCTCTGCCTTCATGAAGGTTGTCAAAGGGCCAGTCATCCTTGGGTAAATTGTCATCCTCCTGCAACAGGGGAACATTTTGCCTGTAACACTAGCACTAGTGTCTTGCTTGAAAGTATAAGCTAACCAAAATCTGAAAATCATTAACATGCTTATTCTGAACAGCCCAATCTGTAATAACAATGTGTAATCACTTCCAACTTCTGCCCAGTTGATCTTGATGTTGATGGGTTTTTTGGTAGCAGAGGAGGGGGATACAGCGATGGACTTTGTGAGAAGTTTCTCGAAAGCTCCCCCAGCTCCAAATTGGACCTGCCTCTGGCCAAGGCCAAACGAATTAGCAGTGGTGCCTGTGCCTCTGCAATAATGTATTTAAGAAGGGGAACCTGAGAGGGGGTTGGTACTTGTGAGGAGGAATCGTACGAGGAGGACACCTATGTGAATACCCAGGTCAGTGGAAGGAAGGAGAAAGAAGTAGTGGAGGTGCAGAGCAGAGACCCCTGTATCCTGTGGTGAGATGGCAGGGCCGTCCCCCCTGCCACCCATGGAGGTCCATGGTGAAGTAGAGCCTGACCTGCATCTGTGGAGGAGCCCACACCAGGACAGGCATCTGTACTTAAAGGAAGCTGCAACTCTGAGGGGACAAGAAACCTCGCTGTTGTAATTGGGCACTGGGAAGACTGCAACACATGGGGGTGACCCATGATGGATCAGCACGGGAATGGCTGCATCCCATGGGAAGGACTCACACCAGAGAAGGGTCATGGAGGACTCTGTCCAGTTAGATGGGAGCCACATGGAACAGGGGAGGAATGTGCAGCGCTCACCCCACCTCCCGAGGAGGAAGAAGCAGCAAGCTGACTGTAACCCCAATCCTCTGCCCCCTGTACTGCTGGGGGAGGAGGTAGAGAGATTGTGAGCAGAGTTGAGCCCAGGAAGAAGGGAGGGGTGAGGGGAGGTGCTTTTGGATGTGGTGGCACTTCTTACTGTCCCACCTTGTTTGTTAAGTGTTGTCTTTGTTAGTGTTTGAATTAAAGCGATGTTCTTTTTTTCTTCCCCTAACGAGTTTGTCTTTTGCCTGTGACCACAATGGGTGAGCACCCGTCCCTGTCCTTATCTGGATTCCTGAGCCTTTTACTTTATTTTATCCTTCCCACTCCTGAGAGGGAGTGAATGGCTGCATGATGCTCAGTTGCCCTCTGGGCTCAAACCACGACAAATATGTATCAACACATGTAAATGCCTATTTGACAGAGTCTTTCTCTTCCGATGTGTCCTCACTATAAATGTGCACAGAAAAACACACATGCTTGCATACCAGTAACTTCCAGGGTGCTCTCAGACCTTGACATTCACTTCTGGAGAATAGTGTGTGTGTATAGCTGGCATTGTCACCATCTCTACTGTATTTCTTTGCACCTGAACAGAGAATAACATCTCCAAGAGCAGTGGAGCCTAGTACCTGTCTCCAGTGGTAGGTTCAGTAACAGTGGAAATGCAGACTAGTTCTGGGAATAAACTAGGCCTGTGAAATTCTACATGTACCCTACCCCTAAGCAGTATAATTCAAGAGACTATTTAATACTGTTTTTCTGATAAAACTGGGACTCGTACACAGGCTTGCAGCCTAATGCCCAGCTCCAGAACAAAGTGAATCCGTTACAGGATCAAACGGGTCATCATCCTAAACTCCCACAGAAATTTGGTTCCAGAGCTGGAAACAAAAAGTCTCTTGGCCTTGTGTCCACATTTACACCTGCAAATGAAATGGGCAACCATGGTCCTGAGGAGACTGGCATGCACGCATATAACTCATCTCTTTGTCCCATCCTTTCCTTTCCAAAAAGAGGGTGGCTTCATCTGTACTGCTGATTATGATAACTCCTATCCATGCTGTCAGTGTGCTTATGCTTTGCCTGGCAGTTTTCATCTGACCAGAATATTGCCAAACAACTTGCTAATCATGAATTAGCATTATTATGTGCCCAGTGCTTCTGCCTCTCTCATGGCCCTGCTTAATTTACTAGTATGGATGTAGCTTATCATATTTAATAGCAAAACATGAATGTACATTCTGGGTGTGTGGAAGCCCTCTACAAGACATGCTTTTGGGTGGGGTTTTTTTTTTTTTTTGCAGAGACAATCTGGTGAGAGCCATAAGATTTTAGCCTGACTTGGAGTACAAAATACTTTTTTTTTAATTTCATTTTTTAAAATATAAACAGAAATACTTCTGGATACAACTGGAGAGACCTCGGAGATTGGCTGGACCACTCACCCTTCTGATGGGGTAAGCATTTCCCTCGTCCTCTTCTTGACCACACCTCTGCTGGGGGGCATACATGCATCTGATGAAGAAAGGGAAACTGGAACCAATGAGACTTGTTTTATGGATATGTACATATGAACAATTTGAATGCGGTACGTTGTGCAAAGGCAGATTGTTGAGAGAGGAGGATACTGGGTGGGATACTATCACCACCTCCTTACTGTCTTCCTTCCACTCTCCTTCAGAAATACTCATGAGGTCTTCAGCCATCCCTCCACACAGATGGAATGGAATGGAATGGAATGGAATGGAATGGAATGGAATGGAATGGAATAGAATAGAATAGAATAGAATAGAATAGAATAGAATAGAATAGAATAGAATAGAATAGAATAGAATAGAATAGAATAGAATAGAATAGAATAGAATAGAATAGAATGGAATGGAATGGAATGGAATGGAATGGAATGGAATGGAATGGAATGGAATGGAATGGAATGGAATGGTTGAAAGTGGCCTACTATGATCATCTAGTACAACTGCCTGATCACGACTGATCAAAAGTTAAAGTATGTTATTAAGGACATTGCCCAAATATCTCTTCAACACTGACAGGCATGGGGCATCAACCACCTCTCTAGGAAGCCTGTTCCAGTGGTTGACCATCCTCTCAGTAAAGAAAAGTTTCCTAATGTCAATTCTGAACCTCTCCTGGATAGCAGGGAGAAGATCTGTCCGGTTCCCCTCCTCAGGAAGCTGCAGAGAGCAATGAGGTCACCCTTCAGCCTCCTTTTCTCCAAACTAGACGAGCCTAGATTCCTTAGCTGCTCCCCATTGGACATAACTTCCTGCCCTTCCATGAGCTTGGTTGCTCTCATCTTGACACATTCAAGGACCTTCACATTCTTCTTAAATTGTGGGGCCCAGAACTGCACACAGTACTCAAGGTGAGGCCACACCAACACTGTATATGGCAGATAATCACCGCTCTTGACCAGCTTGTTATGCTGTGTTTGATGAACCCCGGGATGCGATTTGCCCTCTTGTCTACCAGGGCACACTGCTGGCTTCTACTGAGCCTGCTGTCAACCAGCACCCCCAGATCCCTTTCTTCAGGGCTACTTTCCATTTGGACAACTTGTCCAGAATATTGCTGTGAGGGACAGTATCAATAACCTTACTAAAATCTAGAAAATCTACATCTACCACCTTCCCTTCATCCACTAGGCAGGTGACCTTATCATAGAAGGATATCAAATTAGTTAGATAGAGCTTTCCCTTTGTGAACCCATGTTGACTGTGCCTAATGATTGCATTGGTCTTTAAATGCCTTTCAGTAGTACCCACTATGATCTTCTCCACAATTTTTCCAGGTACTGAGGTTAGACTAACAGGCTTGCAGTTCCCTGGGTCTTCCCTCACATCTTGTAAATTGGAATAATACTGGCTATCTTCCAGTGAGCAGGGACCTCCCCAGACTACCAAGACTGTCGGTAGATCATCAAGAGTGGTCCTGCTGTAATATCAGCTACCTCCTTCAGTACTCAAGGATGAATCTCATCAGGCCCATGGACTTGTGAACATTCAGCTGATACAGCTGGTCCCTTTTGCCAATGTCCACAAATAGAAAATCACTGTTCCTGCATTCATGGTTCACCAACTCAGGGGACTGGGCAGCCCAAGGTCTATCACTGTTATTAAAGACTGAGGCAAAAAAAAAGCATTGAATGCCTCTGCTTCTTCTCTATCCCTATATGTCAGGTAACCATCTGGAAGAAGGTTTGGTCCAATGTTTTCTTTAGACCTCCTCTTGCTATTAATGTACTTTAAAAAGCCTTTCTTGTTGTCTGACACAACACTGGCCAATTTCAACTCTAATTGAGTTTTGACCTTTCATGTCTTCTCCCTGCATATACAAACCACAGCTCTGTAGTTTTCCTGTGAAGCCTGACCTTGCTTCCAGAGGTCATTTAATTTCTTTTTCCCCTTGAGCTCTGCAAGGAGGTCTCTATTCAGCCAAGATGGTCTTCTGCCCCACTTAGTTGAATTCTAACACATTGGAATTGCCTGCTTCTGTGCTTCTAAAAGGTGGTTCTTAAAAACTGACAAGCACTTATGGACTCCTAAGCTCTCAAAAGCAAATTCCCAAGGGACACTGCTGAGCGGCTCCCTGAATAGTTTAAAGTATGCTCTCTTGAAATCCAGGGTAGAAACTCTGCTTTCCTTTTCTTTCATTACACCAAAAACTTTAAACTCAACCATTTCCTGATCACTGTGACCAAGACAGCCACCTACCATCACAAGTCCTTTTCTAGTCACAACTAGCAAGTCTAGGAGGGCATCTTTTATAGTTATCTCACTGATGACTTGCGACAAGAAGTCTTCTTCCCCAAGCCAAGAATTGCCCAGACTTGCTTGCCACAGTAGTATGGTGTTCCCAGTTTTTGATGTCTGGGAAGTTAAGATCTCCCATAAGGACAAGTGCTGCTAATCCAGAGCTTTCTCCTAATTGTCTATAAAATAACTCATCAGTGTTAACATCCTGGCTGGGTGATCGGTAGTAAACACTACAACAATTCCATTGTTTTCCATCCCCCTAATCCTCACCCAGAGATTCTCAATCACATCATAGCTAACTGTAAGGGCTGTACAGTCAAACCTCTCCCATATATACACTGCAGCTCCTCTACCTCCCATGCTCTGCCTCTCCTTCCTGAACAGCCTGTAGACCTCCATCTCAGCACTCGCTTATGGGACTCATTCCACCAAGCCTCACTAATATCAATGATATAATAGCTCAGGGGACTGACCAATGCTTCCAGTTCATCCTGTTTGTTTCTCATACTGCATGTGTTGGTGTACAAGCATTTCAGATGTGCTCCTGAGCCTTCCATGCTCCCAGGAGCAGAGGAAATCTTCCCATTAGCATTACCACCCTCAGACGATGCTATGCCAACCCTTGGCTTACCTTCAGCTCACCTGTTGTATCCCCTGCCCCCATCGATTCTAGATTAAAGCCCTCTCAATCAGTCCCGCCATCTTATGAGCAAAGATGCATTTCCTGCATCAGGACAGGTGGATCCTGTCAGGACCCACCTTGTGCCTCAAAGACACCTCCATGGTTATAAACCCAAAAGTTTTGGTGGAGGTGCCGGATATTGATATCTCAGGATCATCTGTTTCATCCAGAGTTTCTCCCCATTACTGGAAGGATTGAGGAAGACAGTACCTGTGCTCCTGGATTTTTTAGCATTCTTCCCAGTGCCCTGAAATCTCTTTTGATTGACCCTAGGCTTTTTGTTGCAACATCATTAGTACCCACTTGAAAGAGCAAGAGTGGGTAATAGTCTGAAGGCTGTACTAAGCTCTTCCATCATCTGGTAACATCTCTAATCCAGGCCCCAGGGAGACAGCGAACTTCCTGAAAAGATGGTCCAGTCTGCAAATGGGTGCTTTTGTTTGAACAGGAGAGAGTCACCAAAGACCGTAACCTGCTGTCATGGTTTGAGCTGGGTCAGCAGCCAAACACCACGCAGCCGCTCACCCACCCTCCCCCACTTGGGAATGGGGAGGGAATTGGAGGGGAAAAGGGGGACTCACAGTTTGAGATAGAAACAGTTTAATAAGAGTAATAAAATAAAATGGTGACAGTATAAACAGTCAATGTACAATACAGTTGCACACCACCCACCAACCGACAGCCCACCCGCTCCCGGCTAGCGATCCTGAAACACAAAGACGCCGCAGCAACAATCCCGGAAGTGAGAGCACCTCTTCCCACCCACTCCTTCCCTTATATGGTGAGCATAATGTCACATGACATGGAATATCAGCCAATCTGGGCCCAGTGCTCCAGCTGTGTTCCCTCCCTGCTTCTTGCATACCTGCACACAGGCAGGGCACACGGAGCTGGAGAGTCCCTGAAATTTCAGTGTGCATCAGCACTCCTCCAGCTACCAAAACCAAACATGAACTCTATTCCAGCCTGAACCAGGACACGTGCCTTTGTTCCTCCTCAACACTGGTCTTAATGCAGGTCTTGTTACGAGGACTTGGTCAATGTGACCTTGGCAAGAGCTTTTGCACAGGTTCCTTCTCTTCTATCTCATTATGTGCTTCATCTGTCATACCCAGGGCCTTGTACCTATTCTGTAAAGCTAGTTGAGAGGGTGAGGAGGGGTTTCTCTTACACCTTTGTGCAGTAACCTGCTTCCACCCCTGCCCTACCCCTCCCCTTTGCCTTCCTCCTGGCACAAAACAGATACTGGGCTTGCCCCTGCAGTGGCCCTGCTGAGTTGGTTTGTGTGCAACAGAGATGGAATAGCACAGCTCCAACTGTGATAAAGTTGGGTAGAAGGGTCTTCTGCTTTAATGTTTTCTCCAAAGAACAGTCTTGTTTCTCTGTCTCATTTGTTTGTGTTGTGTGTTTTGTCTCTGGAGATAAGAGATGTGGAAATAGGAGGGTAGAAAGTGTGACTCTTTGATGTTAAGGTTCTCAATGCCATGCGACAGCTTTGCATGAATTATGTTTTCTGTCACAACAGTTTTTATTTGCAAGGTTCAAGAGTCCTTCTTTACAGGGTCATACTTTGTCCTGCCTAGAGTGCTGTGCTGCACATGCCATCAGCAGGTTCAGGTCTTGTCATAGACATGACAAGAAGGAAGGGGAAGAAGTACTGTCCTGTATTTTTGGTGCAGTTGAACACTGAAGCCATATTCTTTTCACTGTTTCTTCCTTTTCTTTCCCATATATCCATTACAGTGGGATGAGGTAAGTGTCCTGGATGACAAGAAGCGCCTGATCCGAACCTTTGAAGTCTGTAAAGTGGCTGAACCAGGTCAGAATAACTGGTTGCGTACTCACTTCATAGAGCGACACGGAGCCCACCGAGTCCATGTCCGCCTCTGTTTCTCAGTGAGAGACTGTGCCAGCATGCGCACTGTGGCTTCTTCTTGCAAGGAGACTTTCACGCTCTACTACCACCAGTCAGAGGCTGACATAGTTTCTCAGGAACTGCCAGAGTGGCGGGAGGGCCCCTGGACCAAAGTGGATACAATTGCAGCTGATGAAAGCTTTTCCCAGGTGGACAGCACTGGGAAGGTGGTAAAGATGAATGTTAAAGTACGTAGCTTTGGGCCACTCACCAAGCATGGCTTTTACCTGGCCTTCCAGGACTCAGGAGCCTGCATGTCCCTGGTGGCAGTCCAAGTCTTCTTCTACAAATGCCCAGCTATGGTTAAAGGATTTGCCTCCTTCCCTGAAACTTTTGCTGGAGGGGAGAGAACCTCACTAGTGGAGTCACCAGGGACATGTGTACCTAATGCAGAAGAGACAAGCGTAACTGGGTCTTCAGGTGTTCGGTTGCACTGCAATGGAGAAGGGGAGTGGATGGTGGCCATTGGACGATGCACCTGCAAGGCTGGCTACCAGCCTGTTGATGGTGAACGAGCCTGCCAAGGTGAGATACCCTTTTTCCCTACCCCTTAGGCAGACACTTCTTTGTTGGTTCTTTGTGTTAGTATTTGGTATTTGCCAAAAGTTCACAGAGCTAGGAGATGAAATCGTTTCTCACAGAGAATGCTTACTAGCAGCCTCCTCTGACAGCACTAGAGACAGACTGTTAGGCTACATATACAGAATTAGCAAGAGTTGCAACTAGCCATATCTAACATAGTTCTACTTCTTCACCAAGAGGCAACAGCATTAGAGGAGAGATGCCACATGGAGCAGAGCTGAGCCCAGAGCTAATACACTCTACCATCCTAACTAGTTTGGGCCCTTTTGCTAGTGCTGTTGGAACTAGGGATAGAGAAAGAAAGGAATGGCAGCAGCCTGGTCATGGGACAGGTAACGTGCAGCAGGGATCTATGAGCCTGGCTTGCTAAGAAAAAACAGTCATAATGTATTATTATTACCTCTAATGTGCTCTCTACCCTGGAGCTCATGGTATTTTCTGTGAAATGTTTCTAGGAGGAAGTATGTATCACCCAGTAATAGTATTGGACCAAAATCTGTCCAGGTTTGAACACCCAGTCTGATGTCATTACTGCCTTTCTATGTCAAGCTTAACACAGTCCATTAGACCAAATTGCTTACATTGGTTACATAATTTTGTGTATAATGTTCTTCTGGTGCTTCCTTGGTTTTAATGTGCATCTACTCAAGATATCGTAGCAATGTAAAATGTTGTTGCATCACACTTAGTACCCTAAAAAATAAATGTAATGTGGAACCCACTCAAATTGCTGTTTTATTAAGTGATTGGTGTCATGCAAAATAACTTTATTAAAAAACAGTTCATTGTGCTGGAGACTTACAGAGCAATTAAAATTGGTAAGTGCTTTTTATTTGTTTAAGTTTTTAGAATGATTAAAATGTGTGTGCCTTTTCATCTTGCTCATCCTGAAAGAAATGTAACTACATTCACTCCTGAGACAGAAAGCCCAAATGGACGTAGAGCAGCTCTATATGGCACTTAGCTTTGTGGTCTGCATCAGTAGCATGACTAGTTCACAATCCAGGTAAATTGACAGTCAGTTATTTAGTATTAGATAGTAGTTTTGAGCACTAAAAAGTCATGGAAATTAGGCTTGGCAAATAAAAGTAGGGATTTTTAAAAAATCTTATCTTCCCTTTTTTATAGCATTTAATGAAAGCTGATACTTCCTTGAAGCCCCATTATCACAGAAGCTGGAGACAGATGAAAATGGTAACTATTTTAAGGAGGAATAACTGAAATAATGATAGTCTATCAAACTACAAAACACTGTTCCTTTCATTTACTTCCTGAGATTTCATGAGCAGCTTAGAATGGCCAAAGACAACCAAATAATAAACCTTAATGTTAGAAGGTATTTTTTCTTCTCATGTTTCTTGTAAACTCCTCTGGCTTGTTCACCATTTTTGGTGTCTTCTTCTGCCTGGATGGAGTCAAATTCAGCTAGTGTAGTTTGTCCCCTTGCTTGGTGTTTCTTTGCATGGAGTCCTTTCCAGGACTGCTCTGTGTGTTCTCCCTTCCCAAGAACAGAATTACACTGTGATAGAATTGCTACAGTGTTCTTTATGAAATACAGAAGAAAAGCAATAGGCCAAGGGCAGATTTCTATTGATGCAGAGAGCTCTTCTTAATAAGATTGAAGAATGAACCAAAAATAGGAAGGAGAAGCAAGTTTCCTTCTTACACTTTAGTAGAAGAGTGTGTGGGCATTGCCTTCCCCCTCACCGTATGGAAGCCTGTGGAGTCCTTCCTGGACCAGCTGTTACCTCTTTATTTAGAAGAAAGAATCTGACAAGAACCATTTGGAGCAGACAGAGAGCCCCCCATCTCCCCCTTTTTTTTTTTTTTTTCCTGCCCCCTACCATGAATTAAGATACTTTCTTTCATTAATTTCATAAGACTGCCTGCTGTTTCTTACTATATAGCCAAATTCTCCAGCTAAATACGGGAATGAAACAACGTCCTTTAGTAAGCCCTCTAGGTAATGTGGGATGTGGTGTGTGTGGGATTCATTTTTGTCTATGTCCAAGTAGACATTTTCTCATGCTGAACACTAAGGTGAATGGCAGTTTACTGAGGAAAAAGGAAGGTCAGGACCTTAGCTCCTTATCTTTCTGTAGATGTATACACACAGGGTGCCTTGCCTTGCAAGGTTTCCTGCAACTCTAGGTGTTTTTCCACATAGAAGGCTAGAAATGGAAAGTTCTGGGTGATTAGGCCGTCCTAGGCTACTGGTTCACAAAATTCTGGACTGATTGGATGTTCTCCCAAATGTTCTCTCAGATCAACAGCTTCATTACTGAAAACAGTTGTTCCTGGATTTCATCCCCACAAACCATTTTACAATATAATGTGTTTATTGGGATTCGCTGCCCACAGCTTATCATTGACTTTTATCTAGAAGTTACATGGGATTTAAGTTACCAGACGCTTTTGAAATAGTGCGTAGAATTTGTGACAGAGACATCAGAAGTATTTCAAAAATGATAAAGTAGAGAACAGCGACATGCCTACTTGATAAAATGCTAAGCTGACTTCCAAATGAAGAAGTAAGGTCAAGTATTAACTGGAAAAATCACTGAAACAGAACTATTAATTTAATAACATGGAGTTTATCTTTTTTTTTTTTTTTTCAAGCCCAAATACATATTAATTCCAAGTCAGTTTTGCAAATCAAGTTCCATGTCTGTTTTTCTGCTCAGTCCCATAGCAGTGTCCAATAGGATGTTTGTCCCACATCACTGAAAATGTGCCATTACTGTATCAGTATACCTCTACATTTGCAATTACTCTCCATCTACCCACCTGCTGGTTTTGTAGCTCAGAGGACTGACTCTTCTTCCTTTATCCAGCTTTGACATCTGAGGGAGATAAGATCACGGGAGTATAGGAAAAAAACATGGATGAAACCATATTTAGAAAGGGATAGAGTGGAAGGAGCTATTTCAGTCATGAGATTGGGGGCAGGGCTTTGCATCCTTGTGAAGTCCCCTTGTTGGGCTTGGGCAGCTGATCCCCTTGTCAGCTATTGTAGTGTATTAGATTTATGTGGCAAGGTTGTGGTAGTGGTCGGGTCTGACTAGGTGACCTCTGTATCAAGAGGGTGCTTTTTGGTGCTTTTCAAGTAGTTTGCTGCTTTACCTATATCCACTGGTTGCTCACTACTCATATTCCATCCTTCCCTCGCCCAAATGTTACCTCTCTTGTTTTGCCTTTTTTTCTTCACGCAGCCCCTTCCCTGACAGTCCTCCCAATATATAACTACCTACTCATTGCTTCAGTTTCACCTCTTTTACCTAAAAATCCTTCTCAGATGATCTCCTATCAACAGTTCAGCAGGAAACAGTTTTTAGTCACTTAACTTATTTTATTCCCATTGATTTGATTGTCTTCTTTTCCATTTAAAAAACCCAAAAGCCACACTCTTCTTTCCTGTTTCTTTCATTTTCCACTATCTCTTCCCCACCTTAACAGTTCTAGAAACTATGAAACTAGATCAACCTGGGGCCCTTTCACTTCGCCATGCCTTGCTTCTAACTCTGGCTGATCCTACCTTATTCAGAACAAGATGCAAGATATACACAGTAAGAGTCACTGTGGAATAGCCTGCCCCAGTGGGAAATTAGTTCCTGACACCCTAAGCTAGTCATAGGCTTATTTCTGGGGAAAAAAATAAACCAGTATTTTATCTAAAAGTCACTTAGATTTTTCTTCTCTAGTATGCCTTTTGCATGCTAATTATGCCATCTTGCATTATAAGAGAGTAATGTCCAAGTCATATTTTTACAATATTATAAATTATTAAATCCTTTCCAACATACTGCCCTCTGTAACTGCCAAAGTTCATCCCTCTTTCCAATTGATTCAGCTCAGGGCTTATTCTACCAGTGCCTCCCATTATCTAGCTAAAGCAAGTGGCATGACCCATACCAGTCATCTCCTGTTTTAGACTCCGTGCTGATTCTGCTTTGCCTAGAGTCATTCTCATTTGAGGCCTTCTGTAGCACTGCACATCCAGTTTTCCCTAGTCCTCAAATTCAGCTATGTCCATTCATCCCTCTCGGTTTGACTCCAGTGCCGGCTTTGCCACTGTTAATTTTTGATACTCTCACATCTAGTATTCATTCTTGTTGCTCCACAGTACATCTGGGAGCAGAACTCCCACATAAGAAACAGATCACTTGTCTCAGTGAGGAAGAGAGCAATTTTATGCTCTTCTAAATGTCTCCCTATGTCCCAGCTCAATTCCAAATCATATCTGGGTACAAAAAGTCAGTGTCACCTGTATCATGTTTCCTAAAAGCACTGCTGGCGGTACATAAAGCTCTGCTGAAGTTTCTGACTGCCCTTCTTGGTCCCTCATCCCTTGCTGTATTTGGTTTTGCTCTCAGAATATTTCCTCTCTGCCCTTACTGTCCAAATGAGCTTTTCAGTGCCTCTTTCTCTGTCTTAACTTCTCTGATTCTTGGTCTGTCCCTTCCCCGTTTTCATTTTCTTCATTCCCCTCACACCCCACAATTCCAGCACTCTTCTCTGCTGGTTTTGATATTTTTTACTGTTAGAAGTCTCAGAAACTGCTCCTCTGGCCTCCTGGCTGGAACTTGTCTCTAGTGAGCAGCCAGGCAAATACAGGCAACACAGGGCCAAGTGTTGTACTGGGGAACTGCGGAAAATTAGGTCAGTGTCTCTGAGATGAGCTGTGCCCAGCTAAACTGCTGTGGCATTCTGACACTGTGCCAAGATATGAAAAATGACTGAGACAAGCTGAGAGTAAAGCGCTTGCGCACTCCGAAATCTGCCTTCTCCTTTCATAGTAAACTTGACATGATGGGAAGCTTGCACCCCCTGAGGTGCTAGCTCTGCGAAACCTCTGTCCATGCACTGAATATTGTCACTCAATGAGAGCTAAATCTTTGTTTTACTGGAAAGTACTGGGGAAAACATGGGGGATGATCAAGTTG